GAGTAGGTACAGTAGGAGGAGAAGGACAAAGAGGAGGGGGGGGGAGGAGGAGGAGGAGGAGGAGGAGGAGGAGGAGGAGGAGGAGGAGGAGGAGGAGGAGGAGGAGGAGGAAGAGGAGGAACTGGAACTGGAACTGGACAGACGCGAAGCGTCACAACAAGGGCCACATTACTCCTTGGGCTTTAAGCCCCTGGAGAGACGATCTAATATCTCCCGCCTCTTGGGCGTCAAATTGGCTGTAGAGCATTCCTTACCTAGGTCCCGAATCTGATCGGTACCGAGTCGAGAGCAGACTCTGCAGAACCAATAACCACTGGCGGAATGGAAATACATTCGGTGCGAATGATGCGCAAAGGACCCCCCGATGTGTACAGCCCCTGACCCTGGGGCCGCCTTGAAAAGCCCCCCGCCCACGGCCTGAGGCGGACAGCGCGGCGTTCTGAGCCATGCCGTCCGTGTCCCTCGGCTCGCCGCCGAGAAGCAGTTGGTACACCTCCTGCCCTCGGGATCGACACGATGAGACGACCCGAAGCGGGCGACGGCGGCGGGCGACGGCGGCGACAAAGGGCGAGGGGGAGGGGGAGGAGGAGGGGAGGAAGAGGCAGCAGCATCAGCATTGGATGGAGGCGGTCTCTCGGGCTTTCTGTTCGTCACTGCCATAACGTCCAGGGTTGCCCTCATTAGCCGCTTCCGTACAAGACTGGCTGTACTCTCTACCTCCAAAATCCTCGCACGAACACTCTCTGAAAGGCGGGCCTCCAAAGCGCTCGCACCCGCGAGCTCGTCCACTACAGTATTCCCGATCAAGAAGTGCTGGGGGATGCCTCTTCTTTTGGCTTCAGCAAGGTCCAAATGCGACGGCATCCACAGAACAACAATTTCATGATGAGGACGCTTCTGCTCAGCTAATAAGGCCCCGATGGATCTCCAAGTGGATGCCATCTCACCCGAGGGATTCTTGAACTTCCGAGCCCACCACCCGTTCACCACCTCCTCATTGCCAGCCACGTAGACAACAGGCCCACAGGTGTATCTGATGGTAAGTTCTAGAGCGGCCAGTTCACCCCGAGGAACAGTTTGACGAGGGCCCACCAAAGGCCCTGAAATAGTTGAACCAATAACAGGCGGTGAAAAACTCGACATTGTTGCCACAGCTAAACCAACACGTCTAAACAAGGGATTCTTGGTATTTGGGCCCCCCGACGCATCCCCGAAGACAAGAACGGGGTCATCGTCCTGCCCGACACCAAGACACCCTGGATTCAAGGTGGAATCGTTGAAACCATAAACCTTCCATTTCACTTCATCGGGAGGTGGGTCAACCTGCAGCCAGCTTGCAGGAATCACCCCCCCCAGCCAAAAACAGGCGAACATTTCGCTCTGAGCAACTGCCTGAGCGCATAACTTATCCGAGGCTTCGTAAATACTATGCCCCGTGTTGCACTCACAGAGCCACGCACGATGCAGGGGGTCCTCCCGAACCATCTTACACCTCGGGCATAAATCATCGGTAATCAAACCCTCATCCTTACGCCGAGATTGTGGCCATGAACCCCCTACAGCGATATTGACCAAAACTTCAGACAGTTGGCGCCCTCTGCGCACCTGCTGCAACTCGTGCACGAGCCTACGCAGAGAAACGTTGTTGGCTCCACCTTCAAGGCCTGCGCCGCAAAAGTGAGATGCTGCCTGGCGCCATAGGTGGGCAGACTGATCACGCTCAAACTCGGCAAGCCAATCAACAGCCTGATCCATCCCAACCAACTTATCCTCACTGAACTGCCATTCCCGCACCGTACCATCCCCCGTACTAGGAACCTCCCAGACGTCAGGCGCGCGGGGGACCCACCCTACCTGCAGCAAATGAGCAATGGTGGCAGAGAGGGGTCCACGTATATGCCTAGCATATTCAGTGGGACCGAGGTTCTGAAACTTGGACAAAACTTGCGGCCAGGCACGACGAATGCCAGCTCGTACTTGCGGCTCCGCTATCCAAATGCGAAGCCATTCACGAATGCAAGAGACTGGGAGACGAATCCCTGGGTCAAAGCCAGGGGTCCTTATGTCCAACAAGGTGGTTAAGCAACGCCCCTTTTTGGCCGCCCCCGAGACCGCTCCAAGACGCCTCCGAAGTCCCAAGAGCTGAGTCCCGAAAACGCCGTAGATCTGCATCCCGTAAGTAGAGGCCGCCTGCGGCCCTCCCAACTCCACCTTCTTGGTCACCTGGTACCGCTTCGAAGCCCAAGCAAACCTCCTGAGTTTGGCGTTCTGAGCGTTCCCTTTGATAACACGCTGCCTCCGAGTAGCCCGTGCTGGACGCTTTCCAACTCCTTGGTCGACCCCCAGATAAGCAGCCTGAAGCACCGGTTTAATCGGGATGTCCATCTTTTTCAAACGAGCAGAAACCTGGCGAGCAACGCGGTGACTGGAGCACAAAACCACACTCTTGTTTGCCAGCGTGAGCTGCTTTGCCCGAAAGAAGTCGTGAGCATCTCGAACGCACGCTTGAAGTTCCGAACTTACTGCCCTCTCCGAACCTACGACCGAACCGTCGAGGTCATCAATCCAAAGACGCTGGCTCATACCCACATGTGCTATACTCATCTTGCGCATGACGAAAAAGGTGACACACCGAGCGAACCTGGTTCCGTTCCTGAGCCCCTGCACCACGCTCCGAGTGGGCTGAAAGGCCCTCGAGTGCGCTCCAAGCTGCGAGACCAACCTAGGCGCCAAGCAAGTCTGCAACTCAAGACATAACAGCACAGGCGGATACCCTAATCGCAAAGCTGCCGAGATGAGACGCGGCCACTGGATATGATCATAGAAACTCTTGATGTCTAGGATGGTCTGCCCCACCGTGGCCCCCAACTGCACAGCCACCTCGGAATTCAACGCCCTGAGGTAAGCCTCCCTGAAAGCGCTATTCCCCACAATGGCAGCATCCCAGGACGACACCAGCGACTCAGACCATTCACGAGCACACGGCTCTCTAGCAAGGCTCCAGATACGGCAAAACATCGCGATGAGCCCTATCACCCTGTCCCCTCCAGACTTCTTCGCCAACAACCTCCCCACCACTAGCATAGTCTGCCATGGCCATGTCTTGCGCTCTTCTATGGCGGCGTACAAAGAACACAGCTCTGCAATCGCAACATCAGGCAACCTCTCGAAGTCGAGTGGAGAGAGACGATCGATACCCATCCCCGCCTTACCCTTCATCTTCCTGAGGGCCCCCCTGACGTCGTCGACAGTGAGAGGAGGAAGTGGGTCATAGTCTGCAGCAGCCTTGATGGTGCCAAAAAGATTCTCCAAATCGTTCACATCTAGAGTATCAGCGGACCACAACTGCTGCCAATGCTCTACCCTCGAATCGATGATGTCCTTTGGATTAAAGACCCTCTCCCCCTTGATAACAAATTCCTCGGCAGCGTGTGGGGCCTTGCGCAGGGACTTAAATACTGCACCTAGGGAGCTTTCCTCGACGATCCACTCCTGAAATCTTTTCAGGGACGCGTGCACCGCACGCCCACGGGCCCTCTTTGAGGCCTTCTCCGAAAGAACCTTCAAGGCTTCCAAAGTCCCAAGGTCCAAAACGTCCAGGTCCCCTAACAAAAACGACCCACTGGCCCCAACTGAAAGCTCCCTTACCAGTCGGAAGAACCACGTGAACGCCTTCAGGGAGATCCTCCAGCAGAACTTTCCCCACTGCACAAAGCTGAGCAACCTGCTGACTACCGTTATCACGTACCCTATGCCGATGGAGCCGAAGCAGCACCACATGGGCCCGTGCCCACCAGCTAGCCAAAGAATCAGCGAGAGGTTGCGACCTAACATGTTCTGGCCTCTGAACTGCCTCGACAACTAACACTGGCCCCTGAGCTCGTGAGGAGGAGGATGAGGAGGAGGTGGAGGAGGAGGAGGGGGAGGGGGAGGAGGAGGAGGAGGAGGAGAGGAGGAGGAGGAGGGGGAGGAGGAGGAGGAGAAAGTGGAGGAAGACGAGGTGGAGGAGCAGGAGGAGGAGGGAGGAAGAGGAGAAGGAGTTGGAGGATAATGATATGGAGGAGAGGAGGAGGGAGGAGGAGGAGGAGGAGGGGGAGGAGGAGGAGCAGGGGGTGGGGGGGGAGGGTGCGAGCGAAGGGGAGGGAGGCGGAGAGAGGAGGCGGAGAGGAGGAAGAGAAGGAAGAGGAGGAGGAGAGAGAAGAGAGGAGGAGGAGGAGGAGGAGGTGGAGGAGGAGGAGAGAAGGAGGAGGAGGAGGAGGAGGAGGAGGAGGAGGAGGAGGAGGAGGAGGAGGAGGAGGAGGAGGAGGAGGAGGAGGGAGGAGGCGGAGGAGGAGGGAGAGGCGGAGAGGCGGAGGAGGAGGAGGAGGAGGAGGAAGAGAGAGGAGGAGGAGGAGGAGGGTGCGAGCGAGGGGGAGGAGGATGGGGGAGGAGGAGGAGCACTGAGGAGGAGGAGGAGGAGGAGGAGGAGGAGGAGGAGTAGGAGGAGGAGGAAGACGAGGTGGGGGAGGAGGAGAAGGAGGAGGAGGAATATGAGGAGGAGGAACGGGAGGAGGAGGAACGGGAGGAGGAGGAGGAGGAGGAGGAAGAGGAGGAGAAGGAGGAAGATGAGGAGGAGGAGAGAGGAGGAGCCTGTTTGTGGCCTGCGCCCGCCGCGGCCAGAAAATCGCCTCTCTGCCCGTTCTCCGGGAAGGTCTTGCGGCGGGAGCCAACGACCTTGAAGGGGGACGACGACGACAACGACGACGACGACGACGACGACGACGACGACGACGACGACGACGACGACGACGACGACGACGCGACGACGACGACGACGACGACGACGACGACTCTCACGGAGAAGCCCCTCACACACGCCGGATTGGCCGGTGGATCTTGCGTTCCTGTCCCTCCTGGTCGCACGCTGCAGGCCGTGGTCGGGTCGTGCTCGTGGGCAGGTGGTGGTCAGGTCGTGGGCAGGTCGTGGTCAGGTCGTGCCTTGGACCGCCGCTCGTGGGCAGGTCGTGCTCGTGCGCCGCCTGCCCGCCGCGCCCGCGGCGGGGCTGGAGGCCCTCTGCGCCCAGCGGCGCCCGGGCGTCCACCAGTGCCCCGCCGCGGGCCGCGTTCACCAGGGCGCGCCCCGCGGTGCCGCCGTGGAGGGCTGGCGGCGCGCACAGGAGACGGGGCCCAGCCCTTCGCCTCCCTCCTTCGTCTTCTTCCTCCTCCTCCTCCTCCTCCTCCTCCTCGTCGTCTTCCTCCTCCTCCTCCTCCTCCTCCTCCTCCTCTCCTCCTCCTCCTCCTCCCCTCCCCCCTCCTCCCCCCTACTCCTCCTCCTCCTCCTCCTCCTCTCCCTCCCTCCTCCCTCCCTCCCCTCCCTCCTCCTTCCCTCCCTCCCTCCCTCCCCTCCCCCTCCTCCTCATCACTCCTCCTCCTCCTCCCCCTCCTCCTCTTCCCCCTCCTCGCTCCCGCCCTCCCCATCCTTCTCCTTTTTCTCATTCTCCTCTGCCTCCTCGTTCCTCCTCCCTCCTCCGCGCTCCTCCTCCTCCTCCTCCTCCTCCTACTTCTCCTTGCTTTGCCTTCCGCATGTCCGCGTCAGCGCACCCCTCACACTCTCCGGGCCCGCATAGGGAGCTCCACCGAAGGCCCCAGCGGAAGGGTCTGCCTGGCCCCAGTGGCAGGGGCCCCGTACCGACCCATGCGTCTCACAGGGCGCCACTTCGTGTGGCAATCTCCGTCGCACACAAGCGCAGTGAAAAGAACATACCGTCGGAGATCTGGGGACCCAGACCCCTGACGTCATATGACTTTCCAACGGCGCAGACCCTGTGAGGTCTGGACCCCTTTCTGGGGGCCTGCTTTTCACCCTGAGCAGTGTTTGTGCGGTCCCGGGGCCCGGCGGGCCCCAGAGGCAGAGGAAGACAATTGTTCAACATGTGTGTTGTTTTTTTTGCTTCACGACGCGAGAAGATTTGCAGATTCCTCGCAATCATCAGGTAGACAATCATTACATCCTCTGTCGATGACGGGCGTTCCAGGGGGATGATGGGGAAGGGGAGGGGGAGGGAAGGGATGGATGCCAGTAACGTCACGATCCGTGCCAGCGTTGTTTTGGGGCTGGAGATCTCCTGGAATCCAAGTCGTTCCCAGAAGGCGCTGTCACGAATCGAGATTCACTTCCTGGGTAAAGAGCAAGAAGAGGGGGAGGAGGGAGGAGGGGAAGAGGAGGAGGAGGAGGAGGAGGAGGGGAGGAGGGGAGGAGGAGGAGGAGGAGGAGGAGGAGGAGGAGGAGGAGGAGGAGGAGAGGAGGAGGAGGTGGAGCAGGGCGGAGGGAGGAGAGGGAGGAGGGAGGAGGAGAGGAGGAGAGAAGGAAGGGAGAGGAGGGAGGAGGAGGAGGAGGAGGAGGAGGAGGAGGAGAGGCGAAGGAGGAGGAGGAGGAGGAGGATGAGGAGGAGGAGGAGGCGGAGGGAGGAGCGAGGACGGAGGAGGAGGAGGAGGAGGGAGGAGGGAGAAGGGAGGAGGGAGGGGTAGGAGGAGGAGGAGGAGGAGAGGAGGAGGAGGAGAGGAGGAGGAGGAGGAGGAGGAGGAGGAGGAGGAGGAGGAGGAGGAGGAGAGGAGGAGGGGGAGGAGGGAGAAGAAGGGAGGAGGAGGAGGGAGGAGGAGGAGGGAGGAGGAGGAGGAGGGGGGAGGAGGGAGGATGGAGGAGGGAGGAGAGGAGGAAGGGAGGAGGGAGGAGGAGGAGGGAGGGGGGAGGGAGGGAGGAGGAGGAAGGGAGGAGGGAGGAGGGAGGAGGAGGGAGGAGGGAGGAGGGAGGAGGGAGGGGTGAGGAGGGAGGAGGAGGAGGAGGAGAAGGATTTCTGAGCGAGGAGCGAGAGCGAGGAGGAGGAGGAGGAGGCGGAGGAAGAGGAGGAGCAGGAGGGAGGAGTGAGGAGGGAGGAGGGAAGAGGGAGGAGGAGGAGGAGGAGGGAGGGGAGGAGGGAGGAGGGAGGAGGGAGGAGGGAGGAGGAGGAGGGGAGGAGGGAGAGGAGGAGGAGGCGGAGGAGGAGGAGGAGGAGGGAGGAGGGGAGGAAGGAGGAGGGAGGGAGCAGGAGGAAGGAGGAGGAGGAGTGGAGAGGGAGGAGGGAGAAGGAGGAGGGAGGAGTGGAGGAGGGAGGACGGGAGGAGGGAGGAGGGAGGAGGGAGGAGGGAGGAGGGAGGAGGGAGGAGGGAGGAGGGAGGTGGACGGGGGCAGGGCCAGCAAAGTGCTCTGAGCCTCGGCAGCCGCCACAGGAGCCTAGCGGTCGCTCGCCGAGCCCCGCGGCCGAGGCCGCCGGTGCCAAGGGTGCCGGCGCTGCGGCCGGCGCCGAGAGCCCTACGTGCCCTGGGCGGCGCTTGGGCGGCTGCTGAGGTCGGGTGGCGTCTGTCTCGTCGGCACGAGCTCGGAGGAGAAAAGGTACCCATCCCGCTACCCTTCGCCCCGTTTTCTCCTCTGTGGGCCTCCTGGGCGGCCCTCGTGGCCACCGCTGGATTCGCCTCGAAATCATGGTCAGGCCGCACCCCGCGAGAGGTCCGGGGAGCAGCGGTATCGGTACCTTTTGGTTTCCCCGCGCACTAAATGGGGACGGAAAGAATGGGCACTAGTACAACGGCGTCCCCTGGGACGTCTGTTTTCCCAGACCCCCTTTCGTTGTGAAAACGTCACGACGGGAGGTTTCTTTCAATTTTCGGCTTCAAGAGGCCTTTGCCAGGCCTCGGGACCATCAAAAAACGATTCAGGATGAAAAGCTGGTCCAGGGAAGGGGTCGAGATCTTGGGGGGTCGACGTTGCGACAACAATCGCGATGTCGGGCGTCTGGGTTATCGGCACGAGCGACATGGCTACGGACAGAGTGGGCACTGGTACGAAGACAGACAGCAATCGCTGTCCGTGTCGCCGCGGGCGTTGCCCATTTGACACAACCCGCCGCCTGCCCAACAGCGGCCGCTGCCGGTTGCGGACGACATGTGTGTTTGTTGGGCATCGTGCCCACATTTTCTGTACCCAATTCGGGCTTCCAATTCTCAGGTCTGGCAAGGGAAAGAGGGTTCTTCCTTGTTTACGCTCAGGCAAGTTGACTTGCATTGCGTCCCCTCCCCTCCGTCGCCTTTTCAAACAACGTTGGGCCGACAAGGCTGGCAGGTGAGTCACGACTTGCGTGAAGTTTCGAATTCCTTTCGGCCATTGCCTCACCCTCTCCCCCAAATGGAACAACTTGCCTCAGTCTCAAGGAACAAGTACTACTACTGCTGCTCGATCTGGAGAGCCCTCCTAGCCACGGCTGAATTCTGACCACAATGCACCCCGAGAGAGGTTTTGGGAGTAGCGATCTCGGCACCCTCCCGTTTGGAGATCAGGGGCAGCTTTAGGGGGGAGAGGCTTCCGGGGTGAAACATCGACTTGGAATGGGCGACACCATGTTTTGTCTCGACGTGGGCACCCCGAGGTACGGACGCTTTCCAGAGCGTGAATTACCTACCCCGCTTGCGCTTCCAGGCAAAACCAAACCATACCACGCGCCTCCTCGTCAAGCGGCCTGACCAGTACAGGCTGCAATGTGGCATCGTTTGATATCTCCTGGAAGCGAGGGTGGTCAAAAGCGAGGTAGGTTTGTTTTCCCCCTAGCTTTCCCAGATTTCCATCCCAAGTCATTGTCTCACATGTCCTGGGGCCCGGCGAGTGCCCCCAGTGGCCGAAAACAGCATCGACACAAGAATGTCCCTCGTGACTGCTTCACTGTGCGAGGAGGTCTCGGCATCGGCGATGCATCGGCGATTCGAAGGATTGCAAATTTACTCACTGCGTGGAGCTCCCCATATGTGCATCTCATGTTTTATGTCATGCCGTGGTGAGCGTCTGTTCATGAGCGGTCGACTACAATAGCGCGTCCACGTGGGCGACAGGGCCGACGAAAACGAGTGACCCCTAATGCGAGTGATTGCGTATGAGTCAGAGTGAGCTTTGAGTATGGTTGAATGCAAGCCTCTTCCTCTTCATCCCCCCCCTCAGCTGCCAGGCTCCTCAGCCCGTGGTAGCTTTGGAGCTTCCCACATGTGCATATGTTGTAGGATAGTTGGCAGTGGGATATGTAAGACGAGCGTCTAGCCACACAAGGCCATAAGTGCATGTCATGTTGGAGGATAGTGCCACGGTGAGCATTTATCTACCGTGCAACCACCCCTGGCGGCTCCCCATAAAGGTGTTGCAACCATCGCCCCGCTTGAGACATGAGTAAGTCCGACAGGAGGGGAGGAGAAAAGAGGAGGAGGGAGAAGAAGGAGTAGGATGCGTCCAAATAATAACAAGAACCCCATCAGGGGTGCTAAAACCAGCGCCCCGCCTGAGACATCCTCACAATCTGCTCTCCCAGCGAAGGATGTTGGGCCCGGAAACAAGCAAACCGCCTGAGACATCCCCACAAAATGGCCGCGAACGAGCCCGTGCAAACACCCCTGGCGGCTCCCCTTAGGGGTGCTGAAACCAGCGCCCCGCCTGAGACATCCTCACAATCTGCTCTCCAAGCGAAGGATGTTGAGCCCAGAAACAAGCAAACCGCCTGAGACATCCCCACAAAATGGCCGCGAACGAGCCCGTGCAACCACCCCTGGCGGCTCCCCTTAGGGGCTGAAACTGAGACACCTCACAATCTGCGCGAAGGACCCGGAAACAGGCAAACCGCCTGAGACATCCCCACAAAATGGCCGCGACGAGCCCGTGCTGGCTCCCCCTTAGGGGTGCTGAAACCAGCGCCCCGCCTGAGACATCCTCACAATCTGCTCTCCAAGCGAAGGATGTTGAGCCCAGAAACAAGCAAACCGCCTGAGACATCCCCACAAAATGGCCGCGAACGAGCCCGTGCAACCACCCCTGGCGGCTCCCCTTAGGGGTGCTGAAACCAGCGCCCCGCCTGAGACATCCTCACAATCTGCTCTCCAAGCGAAGGATGTTGAGCCCAGAAACAAGCAAACCGCCTGAGACATCCCCACAAAATGGCCGCGAACGAGCCCGTGCAACACCCCTGGCGGCTCCCCTTAGGGGTGCTGAAACCAGCGCCCCGCTTGAGACATCCTCACAATCTGCTCTCCAAGCGAAGGATGTTGAGCCCAGAAACAAGCAAACCGCCTGAGACATCCCCACAAAATGGCCGCGAACGAGCCCGTGCAATCACCCCTGGCGGCTCCCTTTAGGGGTGCTGAAACCAGCGCCCCGCCTGAGACATCCTCACAATCTGCTCTCCCAGCGCACTGTGTATGAGTAAGTCTTGGTATGAGTGAGTCTGTGTATGAGTACGTGTGGGTGTGAGTAAGTCTGTGTATGAGTAAGTCTGTGTATGAGTACGTCTGAGTGTGAGTAAGTATGAGTATGAGTAGGTCTGAGTATGAGTAAATCTGAGTATGAGTAAGTCTGTGTATGAGTAAGTCTGAGTATGAGCAAGTGTGAGTATGAGTAAGTCCGACAGGAGGGGAGGAGAACATATGAGGAGGGAGGATGAGGAGTAGGAGGCGTCCAAGTAATAATTATTCACTGCGTGGAGCTCCCCATATGTGCACCTACTCGCATGGACCTGTCCGCCGTGAATGTCTAGGCGCAAGAGCTTTCGAATATTAACGGGTTTCAGTTGTGACGGTCTGGACATCAATCTAACTGCGAATGAATTGGAGTGTGAATGAGCCTCAGTAGTACGAGCGCGTCTCTGTGCATGAGCCTGGGGCCTCCTGGGGCCTCCTGAAACCTACTGGGGCTTCCTGGGGTCTCCAGGAGCCTCTTGGGACCTCCTGGGACCTCCTAGGAAGGTTTCGTGCCCCAGGAGAGGCGCAATCTATAGCAACAGACGTACATAAAACATTGTGGACTAGAGCCACAGGAGAAGGGCAATCTATAGGAACACGCGTAAAACACCAAGGACTCGTGCCCCAGGAGAAGGGCAATCCACGCGTAAAACACCAAGGACTCGTGCCCCATAATATATAGGAACATGAGGAAAACAGTTAGGAGTGTGTACACAGGAGAAGGACCATCTATAGAAACATACGTAGAACATCAAAGAATCGTGCTCCAGGTGAGGCCCAATCGATAGGAGCATACGTAAAACACATGGGATTGGAGCCACTCCTGTTGCCTTCTGAGGCCTCCTGTTCCTGGGGCCTCTCGGGGCCTCCTGTTGCCTTCCGAGGCCTCCTGGCGCTTCCTGTTGCCTCCTGGGGCCTCCTGTGGTTTCCTGCGGCCTTCTGGAGCTTCCTGGGGCCTCCTGGAGCCTCTTGGGACATCCTGTGGCCTCTTGAGTCTTGCTGTGGCCTCCTGATGCATCCTGGGACCTCATGTGGTCTCCTGGGGCCTCCTGGAGCCTGTTGGAGCCTCCTGTGGCATCCTGAGAAGAATCTGCGCCCACGAGCCTGGCCACCAAAACAAGCAAACCGATCGAGACATCCTCAAAATCTAGCCCACCTGGGTGGTGAAAATGAGCGCCTCGCTCGAGACATCCTCCAAATCTGCTCCGAACGCAAAGGATGTTGAGCCCAGAAACAAGCAAACCGCTTGAGACATCCCCACAAAATGGCCGCGAACGAGCCCGTGCAACCACCCCTGGCGGCTCCCCTTAGGGCAACGAGCCTGGCCATCAAAACAAGCAAACCGATCGAGACATCCTCAAGATCTGGCCCACCTGGGTGGTGAAAATGAGCGCCTCGCTCGAGGCATCCTCCAAATCTGCTCCGAAAGCGAAGGATGTTGAGCCCAGAAACAAGCAAACCGCCTCAGACATCCCCACAAAATGGCCGCGAACGAGCCCGTGCAACCACCCCTGGCGGCTCCCCTTAGGGCCACGAGCCTGGCCACCAAAACAAGCAAACCGATCGAGACATCCTCAAAATCTGGCCCACCTGGGGGGTGAAAATGAGCGCCTCGCTCGAGACATCCTCCAAATCTGCTCCGAAAGCGAAGGATGTTGAGCCCAGAAACAAGCAAACCGCCTGAGACATCCCCACAAAATGGCCGCGAACGAGCCCGTGCAACCACCCCTGGCGGCTCCCCTTAGGGCCACGAGCCTGGCCACCAAAACAAGCAAACCGATCGAGACATCCTCAAAATCTGGCCCACCTGGGGGGTGAAAATGAGCGCCTCGCTCGAGACATCCTCCAAATCTGCTCCGAAAGCGAAGGATGTTGAGCCCAGAAACAGGCAAACCGCTTGAGACATCCCCACAAAATGGCCGCGAACGAACCCGTGCAATCACCCCTGGCGGCTCCCCTTGGGGGTGCTGAA